ACGCGCAGTGCTGACACCGCCCCACACCGGCTCTGAGCCTCGGGGGGTGTGTGTGTGTGCGTGTGTGCAGTGCTGACACCACCCCACTGGCTCTGAGCCTCGGCGTGTATGTGTGTACAGTGCTGACACCACCTCACACCGGCTCTGAGCCTTGGTGTGTGTGTGTGCGTGTGTACAGTGCTGACACCACCCCACACCGGCTCTGAGCCTCGGCGTGTGTGTGTGTGTGCAGTGCTGACACCACTTGTGTGTGGCCGGGTCCATCTAGTACAGGACCCCCGCCTGAGCAGACTCGAGCCTCTCCGCAGCCTGTGGGCTCAGTGGGTGAAGAAAGCCAGCTGGAGGGCACGCCCAGGCCTGAGACTGGGCCTGACCCCAGCTCCATCCCTGTGCTGAGACCGGGCAGAGGTGCAGACCTTCAGGAGGGCCTAGTAGGCCCCCTAGGGACGCTCACTTAGGGCTTCTGGCAGGGTGTGTGCACCTATGTGTGTTTGGCGCCCTTGGGGGCTGGCCCGTGTACCCTCCCAGAGGTGGGGGGACTGTGACCTGGGCTTCTGCCGCTCCTCCAGCCCCACAACGGTTGGGCCTTGGGGACAATTGCCATGTGGCACACACTGCTTCCTCTTCGGGGTGGGACAGCTGAGAGTGGCAGTGACTTTCTGCACCACAGCAGACCTTGCCTCCTTGGCTGCAGCCTCCGGGGTCTGACTTGGGGCGTGGCTTGTCCGGGTATGGAACTTAGTCCTGCCTGGGGCTTCAGTCCCAGCTCTGCTGGCCTCTAAGTTGGGTTGTCTGAGCCCCAGCCACACCACATAGAGGCTTTCTCACTGTGCCTGTCGCTAACCCCCAGATGGCCTGGGCTCCCCAGACTCTGAGGCCTCTTCCTGTCCTGGGTCCTGGCCAGGGGCCCCCACCGTGTCCACTCATCCGGCGTTTAGGTCCCTTGGGGTCGTGGCAGATAGCCATGGGACGTTTCCTCATAGTCAGCGGAGGATGGGCTGGGGGACGCCACCGAGGTGAGGGGTCAGGTCCAGGCCAGGGCGCGGGACCTGGGTCACCTGGGCCGCGTGTCTAGATGGCCGCCTGCCCCGAGCCACGCAGTTGCCGCAGCTCAGCTGCCCGTGTTTGCTCAGCTGGCTCCAGCCCGCCCCAGAGCTGACCCTACCCCACCCCGGCCCGTGAAGCCCTCACAGGTTCCTTTCTCTGGAAGCCATTGTGGACAATGGCACTCGGGTTCCTTATCCCAGGTCCCCCATGGGGCCCCCCTGAGGCTGTGATGAGCAGGTGGCCCGGCCCGGGCTCACCTGAAGGATGCAGTTACAGCCAGGTACCAGGGGGCAGTGGGAGGCAGAGTCCAGGCCTCAGCGATCCTACCCCATGACTTCCCGTCCTGTCTGTCTGTCCATCTATAAGGAAAATGCAAAAAGCGAGGCGACGGCTTGAAAATGGAGAACGACCCTCAGGAGGTGAGCACACACCCGGGCAGCACCTGGGGGCGGGCAAAGGGCAACCCCCAGGAGGTGGGCACACACCCGGGCAGCACCTGGGGGCGGGCAAAGGGCAACCCCCAGGAGGTGGGCACAGACCCGGGCAGCACCTGGGGGCGGGCAAGGGAACAACCCCCAGGAGGTGGGCGCACACCCGGGCAGCACCTGGGGGCGGGCAAGGGAACAGCCCCCAGGAGGTGGGCACAGACCCGGGTACCGGCAAGGGAACAGCCCCAGGAGGTGGGCACAGACCCGGGCAGCACCTGGGGGCGGGCAAGGGAACAACCCCCAGGAGGTGGGCGCACACCCGGGCAGCACCTGGGGGCGGGCAAGGGAACAGCCCCTAGGAGGTGGGCACAGACCCGGGCACCAGCAAGGGAACAGCCCCCAGGTAGTGAGTGCACCGCAGGGGACACAGCTGCCCTGGGCAGGGGGATGGCCAACCTGCTATGGTGCTGTGGTGTGAGGCAGGGGTCCCGAGTGCTGAGTACCACATGCCACCGCCCTAGGGCTGACCCCTGGTGTGGGCGGCGGCAGCCTCTCGGTTGTTAAGTTAGGTGGTGGGTTCTGCCTGCGTCCCGGCCGGGGGCCTGCCAGTGAGCTCTGAGTTGTCTGTGGTCGTGGGCGCCTGTACTGAGGGCTCCAGGCCTGTCTGGCGAGGCTGTCTGCTCAGCTCATGTCCCCGGTTTTCCGGGCTGCTGGGTCTTGTAGCTGCTTGAGGAGCCTGCTCATTTCTGCGTGTCTCCTGTCCGCAGGCTGAGGCCGAGCTGGCCCTGGACGCCGAGTTCCTGGACGTGTACAAGAACTGCAGCGGGGTGGTCATGATGTTTGACATCACCAAGCAGTGGTAAGGGGGCAGCGAGGATCGTGTGACCTCACAAGCCACTGTGGGCAGGCCCAGCGGGAACATGGCTCAGCAGAATGCCGGTGGGCGGGTCACAAGCCAGGTGACAACCCCACAGTCGTCCTGTGAGACACGGCTGGGTCAGGCAGCTCCTCATGCCAGGCAACCCCAGACCACCTCTGTGTTTGGTGGTTCACTGGGACACCCCCCTCCCCGAACCCAGTTTATCCCAGGGAAGGATACAGCATCAGCAAAGGGGCAAGGTGCGTGGGGCAGATGCTGGAGTCCTGTCCCCATGGAACCCCAGGGTGTGCTCACCGCCAGCAGTGAGCTGTGACAGCACCTGGGACATGTTTGCCACTGGAGCCCGCACCCAGGACTCCTCCTGGCACGTCAGAGCCGGACCCAAGACGTGGGGCCTGGGCGGGAGCTGTGCACACGGGCAGCCCAGGCCCAGGAGCCACCAGGGCTGGTCAGGAACATTGGGGACCCTCCGAAACCCACACTGCTCGACACCTCCTCAGGGCGCTGTGTGGACACATATGGCCTCCGAGCAGGAGCCTCTTAGTGACAGGACACTGGGAAGCAGGTCGCTTGTCAGGCCAGACCTGGCTGCCACCTGGTGCTGTCCTCACTGTGAAGACTGTTTTTATCGTGGCTTGTGCACGCCTGCCCGCTAATGGCAGAAACGGCAGAGTTCAGCTCTGCCCCCAAAAGCGCCCGGGAGTTTGGATGACTCTTCCCAGTCTGTCCTTCGTGTCACACACGTGTGGAAATGGTTTCCACAAACTCAGAGGCTCACTGTGAGGGCCTGTGGGCATGCTGCTGTACCAGGGCTCCGGGGTCAGGATGCTGACACCGGCCGAAGTGTGCCACACACTGGGGCCACCGGCCTGGACCCCGATCTGCTCCTGCATCCTGCATCCCGATCTGGCATACAGGCTGCCACCAGCCTCCGCCCCTCAGCTCCCCTGTGATGCCCACTTTAGCTCCTCTGCAGCGCCCTGGCGTCCCCACGAGCAGCCTCCTGAGGCCTGGCAAGGCCATTGTGGCTGGTACTCAGGTGAGAGGCTGGGTGGTCTGAGGCAGTGTGTCAGAGGCAGACAACTAAGAGGACTGCTGGTGGCAAGGCAGCTGCTGGGCACAGGGTGCAGGACTTGGTGCCCAAGACCCAGGAGTCAGGAAAGCAGCAGGCCCTTCCTCAGCAGGAATGGGGGGAGTGAGCCCTCTGTGTGACCTGTGGGCCACATAGCCGGGGTGACTTGTGCCTTCACCTCTGGCCACCGTCGCCTGGCTGCTTGATGGGACGTCAGCTCTGGCCCATGTCCCACAGCACCCCGCCACGTCCCACCAAGGAGAGCAGTGTGGAGAGGAGAGCTCCAGGCAGCTGGCAGCGGAGGCGGGATGGGTCATGGGTACACAGGCAGGTGTGCCCACAAAGCGTGTGGCCCATCCCAGCCACCCCGTGTGGTGTGGATACAGCTGGTGTGTAGGGCCCTCGAGGCAGGGGAACAGGGTGGTAAGACCACTGGGCAGGGTGTCGCAGCTTTGTAGGTGGTCTGCAGATGGTGCTTGGAGAGCAGCGGGGGCTCCTAGCCACCTGTGGCGGGGGGGCTGAGAACCCGCAGCCAGACTGCCCATGACATGGGCCGTGTTAGAGGCCCTTACCCGCACAGCAGGACTCACGGGGGCCTGGAGAGCTGCAGGGGGTGAGTCAGGGCACAGCCACACTCCCCTGCCGGCCTCCTCAGGAGCAAGGGGTCAGCTGGAGGTGCCTGTCACTGCTTCCCCGCCACATGTAAGCTAGGACAGGGCACCTTGCAGAGCAGAACACCCGCAGGGCCACGCCAGCAGGCCCCAGCAAGCTGCAGCAGGTTCTCACACCACAGGCTGTCCCTCAGCCTCGGTAGCATGTGGGCGCCACACAGCAGGGCGTGAGCTCAGCCCCACGCCTCAGGACGTGCACCACCAGGAGACAGGTCCCGACAAGCACACAGCAGTCGGTGGTGTGGACAGTCAGCAGCCATGTTGCAGGACACAGGTGGGCCCTGAGCCCCTGGGGGAGCAGCAAGGCCCGGATCAGGAGGGAGAGCGCCCACAGCCTCGGCCCCCCGCAGGCTCCAGCCTCACCCCCTGCCCTGGGCTCAGGAGGCACGCTGTACCCTCACTGCACCTGTCCCCTCAGGACCTTCAACTACATCCTGCGTGAGCTGCCCAAGGTGCCCACCCACATCCCCGTGTGCGTGCTGGGGAACTACCGCGACATGGGCGAGCACCGGGTCATCTTGCCGGATGACGTGCGTGACCTTATCACCCACCTGGACAGGTGAGTGCGGCTGCTCCCTGGGGCTGGGGGCACGCCTCAGTGGCCTCCCGCTGCACAGAGATGGGCAGCCCTCGCCTTCAGTGGGGCTCAGGGAGGCAGTGGGGTGCCATGTCCCGAGGCTGGCATGGCAGGGCGGTCGCTCAGATGACGCCCCTGCACACATGCTCACACCTTGGTCCTCTGCGCAGACCCCCGGGCTCCTCCTACGTCCACTACGCCGAGTCGTCCATGAGGAACAGCTTCGGCCTCAAGTCCCTGCACAAGTTCCTCAACATCCCCTTCCTGCAGCTGCAGGTGGGCCCCCAACCCCGACCCCAACCCTGACCCTGGGAGGCACACCAAGTGGGCTGGACACCCCCACCCTGACCCCGACCCCGGGAGGCACAGGTGGGCCAGCCCCTCCTCCCCCTACAAGCCCTGGCTAGGCGTCCACAGTTTGTCTCGGGCTGGGCCCTGGGTGGTGGGAAAGCCAGGCCCTTGGGGTATCCAGGTCCCCACAAGTCAAATTGCCTTGTGACAAGGCCACACGTCAATCATTGTCTCAGGGAAAGCTCAGGGACGCCTTCTGTCAGTACCTGTCACCTGGGGGTCCCTGCCAGTCTCTGAAGGACCGTCCTGCTTGGTTTGCTCCATGATGTGAGACCACACGCTTTTGGGTGTCCGGTCGCTGTCTCCCCTCCCCCCCGCACCAACCCAGTTTCTCTTCTGCCTGGCGTCAGCCTCACCCAGCGCAGCATTTGCCCGGAACCCCGTGCCAGGCACACATGCCGCACGGCCCTTCTTTACAGAGCCCTACCCTGTGGGAGACGCACACCTCCCCTGGGTCTACTGGCCTGTCCCTGAACTGGTGGCCGTGTCGCCTGGCACTGGTCTCCTGCACCAGTCACGGCGTGTGTCTGCTAGAGCGTCTCCCCAGGCCTGTGCCATCGAGGGTGGGCCCCATGGGTGGCCCTGCAGCACTTGGCCCCATGAGCCTGAGACACCGGACTTGCCATTTTCTTTAACTTGACTTAAGTTTGAACGGCCAGGTGGATGGCACAGGTCTAGGTGCTGGGTCAGGTTCAGACTCTGCCCGAGGGTCTGTGTGCACCCAGTGCTGCCGTGCCCACCCTCCATCCTAGGCCGAGGCGGGATGATAAGCAGTGACCATCTTAGCGGTGGCAGGGGGAGTGCTGTGTTGTGGCACTGGTACCCCTGCTGTGAGGGCTCTCACATCCCACTGAGGGGCAGGGCGTCCTGGGGACTGGCATGCGGCCCTGGTGCTCAGGCGCCTCTCCGTCCTCCAGAGAGAGACGTTGCTGCGGCAGCTGGAGACCAACCAGCTGGACATCGATGCCACGCTGGAGGAGCTGCTGGTGCAGCAGGAGACTGAGGACCAGAACTACGAGATGTAGGTGGCCGCACTCCGTCGGCCCCACTTGGTTCCCATGTGGGTAGGAGACCCGGGGTCTACACGTGTGAGCACGTCCCTGGGTGGTGATAGTGACACTGCTCGAGTCATGTGCCATCTCAGCTGTAAGCAGGGCTGTGCTCGGGAGTGGGGAGAGAGTGCAGGACCCTGCCCAGGCCTCCCAGGGAGGAGCCTGTGGCCAGCAGCTTTTATTATTACTGTGCAGCGAAACTGATAACCACCGGCGTCTGCAGCTAGGAGATGAAAACTGTCAACGGTGCAGCCCTTCCCTGGAAATTGGGTACTAGGCTCCTTGTCCCCTGGGAGCACTCTCCCTGAGGACCAACAGGGACCCTCTGCACCCCAGACACCTGGGGACCAACAGGGACATTAATTGGCAAGACAGCTGATCCCACAGTGCTCACGGGCTGAGAGTCAGTGGCTGCTGACAGCCACCTGGGTGTGGTGGCAGGGGGCTGGGCCACCAACAGGACATCCGCCTCACCTCACCCTCTCCTGAGCCTGCTGTGGCCATGGGACCTGCTGATGCAGCCACCCCCCGTGTTAGAGCTTGGGGCCCCAAGAGCCCTGCGCTCAGGCTGCGTTCCCAGGGCGCCTGCCCCGAGCACACTGGTGGCAGAAACGGAGCCTTGGCGTTCCTGGAGCCACGGGGGCAGCAGATGTGCGGGAGAGCCGGGCAGCTGTCCCCCACCTTTCCCAGTGCTGCATCACGCTGCTGAGTGCCCTGCCCCAGTCTCCATGGCGACCCCAGCCTCTGGCCAGCAGCACTGCCTGGGGGCCAAGTGGGTAACTCTGGCCGCCTCAGCCTGAGAGCACCAGCCCGTGCAGTGGCAGCAGGTACCCCGGCCCTGAGTGGGCTCACAGCCACTGCTGCTCCTGGGCAGCGGCACCCTGGGCCCCGGGTTGGAGGCCCGCCCTCCGCCCAGTGACCCCACCTGCAGAAAGCCCTGCTCCTGGTGGCTCACACCTGCCAGTGAACAGGAAGTGGCCTGCGCTTCCCGTCCCAGCCATCACCCATGGGCCGTGTCCTCAGTCTGGGGACAAGGGGCAATGTTTGCACCAGGGAGTGGTCTGTGGAGGGCAGGGGAGGCCGCGTCTGGTGAAGGGACTGCTGTCTGTATTGGGGAGGGGCTGTGGGGGGCAGCACCCCACCCACCTGGGCCAGGAGCAGAGACCTGCAGAGGAACTAAGAGGGTCCTGCCATGAGCTCGGTGCTTTGCCATCTGGGTGGTCTTTCCCGGCTCCTGCACAAAACCCAGGACAGCTGCATGGGTGCTGGTGGGGCGGCCGGACCTGCAGGGCTGTGCAGCTCGGGGCAGGGACGATGGGCCCCTCACCCGCTGCCCTCTGCCCCCAGCTTCCTGGAGATGCTGGATGCCCGCAGCCGGGGCCACGTGACCAACGGGCAGAGCCCAGCCTCTGGCTCCCAGTCGCCTGTCGTACCTCCGGGCACCACGTCCACTGGGAGCTCCAGCCCAGGCACGCCCCAGCCTGTCCCGCCACTGCTTGTTGCCCCGTCCGCCTGTCCCTCCCCACCGTCCTGCACGGTCCTCACACCCCCAGCCGAGGCCCTGCTCCCCACCACTGCAGGCCCTGCGCCCCCGGCCCCTCCACAACGGCGTAGCATCATCTCGCGGCTGTTTGGGACCTCACCTGCGGCTGAGCCAGTCCCCTCCCCCCCAGGTAAGCCCTGGCCCCACGAGGCAGCAGGCCCCCCACTGGCTCCTGCCATAGGTGGGCTGTGTCTGTACCGACATCACAGCTTCCGCCACCTTGGGCCTCCCTGACCCAGGTGCACTGTGGCCACAGGTGTGTAGAAGCTCCCACCTTTTGGGTGGTGGCCCCAAGGGCCAGGGCCCCCCTTGCCACCCAGTCCTGGAGGCGCAGCCCTGGATACTAGCCTGGGACAGGGCAGGCGTGGAGGCAAGTTGGGTCCACTGTCCACAGAGCCTGCTCCGTCTGCAGGGGCCCCAGCAAAGGCCCCGAACGTGGATGACTTTATTCCTGAGGATAGCTTGGACCACAGCTTCCTGGAGGACACGGGTCCCCTGAAGGACGAGAAGAAGGCTAAGGGGCCGCCACAGGACAGTGACAGGTAGGGGTGGGGCCGGCTGTGTGTCTGAGAACAGCCAAGGCCGGAGTGGGACAGCCGGGCTCTGCCTGATGGTGTTGGCAGCAGCTCTGACCACCGAGAGAAGGCCTCCTCAGGCTGACTGTTGAAGTCGCTGTCCCCGTGTCCCAGAGGGACACCCGGTGGCACTTGCCACCTGGATGAGGCAAGGGCCTGTCAGTGTGATCCCCACAGGCCCTCCGGTCCTCCAGGCCTGACCACTGCAGGCACCCAGGCAGGTGTAGGGCAGGGCCGCACTCAGGGTTGGGGGCTTGCTCACGGACAGACTGAGGGGAGAGAAGCTGCATCCATGGAGTGGGCGGGGCATCTGGTGCCAACCTCGGGCTCTCCTTCCGCCTGGAGAGTGGGTGTGGAGGGCCCACGGGGCAGGCGTGGAAGGAAGCCTGGGCCACACCTGGCGTTTCCTGGGAGGTTCCACTCACGTTGCAGAGCGGATGCAGGGCAGGCGGGTGCATGTGCCTTACCCGCCCAGCAGCCTCCACTGTGTCCAGCCAGGCCCTGAGCTCACCCCAGGGTCTAACCTGCCCAGCAACTCACACACCTCCAAGATAGGAGCGAAGCCCATCACAGGGCTGGGGCTCCCCGTGCACACTCACGCCACTGCCTGGGGGCCCCTGCCACACCACCTTCTGCTCGGAGCTGCAGAAAGCATGGATCAGACACACTCTGCCCTCTTCCACTGCAGCCTTGCGAGGCTTTCAGGTGCCCGGTCCCAGCCCTGATCGGCCTCGCTGCCCACACACCCTCAGCGTGGGTGTCTCCTGGCTGGACTGCCTCACCGGGTCCCTCCCACAAGCCCTGTGGTCACCCCAAGTTAGCCCCTACTGTGTGACCCCCATGGGAAGGATGGTGTGTGTTGGGACTGCTGGGGGCACTGGAGCCCCACCTGGTGATCTCTGACCACGCCCCCATCCTACGCAGTGACGGGGAGGCCCTAGGCACCAACCCCATGGTGGCAGGTTTCCAGGATGATGTGGACCTGGAGGACAGGCCAGCCGGCAGATCCCTGCCACCCGTGGACCCCCTCCCCAGCCAACATGTCACTCTGTCGAGTGAGGAGGAGGCCGAGGGGCCAGCAGACCCCCCCAAAGCTTCTGTCCTGGTCCCCCAGCCATGCTTAGAGCCAGAGATGAGATGGTACGTGGTGGGGGTCTTTGTCCTCTGGGGCACGGTCCATGGGGGGGTAGAACTGGGGGTGTGACTAGGAAGGGATATATCCAGGACAGCCCTGGACTGAGGCTTCGGGGCCACCAGGCAGGTTTTGTGCACTGAGCCCTTCTGTCTCCAAAGGTCTTCCAAGAAGACCCCAAAGCCCCAGGCACCCTCACAAGCCCTGGAACCGCAGGTGCCGGAGACACACGGTGGGGGCAGGCCCACACTCGCGGTGTCAGCACCCAGGGCTATGGGCCCTTCCCGCAGACCCGACGGGGTGGCATCATCGGAGAGCGACCCCGAGGGGCCCATTGCTGCCCAGATGCTGTCCTTTGTCATGGACGACCCTGACTTCGAGAGTGAAGAGTCGGACGTGAATCGGAGAGTGGTGAGGGCTGCGGGGCAGGAACAGGTGTAGATGGAGGCAGGGCAGCACGGGGGGCCGTATGGGCGGCAGCCCCCGTTGTTGAACACCATTGATCTCAAGGACATGTCCCCCAGGCCTGGGGTGGGGCCAGGGGACCAGGCTGACTCTTGGAGCTGGCCAGAACAACTCCTTTCTCCTGAGGCCCAGCACCCAAGTGCACGGGGCAGGCAGGAGGGTCCTTGCTTGGGACCCTAAGCAGCCAGATGGCCCCGTGAGAGCCCCTGCCTGTCTATCCCAGGAAGTGATCACTCAGGAGAGGTGGGAGGGCAGTGGCCGGGTGGCCCCCGACCTCACCTTGCTTTCCGAGCAGATCCAGGTGGTCAGCCACACCCAGGCCTTGGCTCAAGCGGTGTGGAAGACCCCTCTGTGCATGGGGCCTTTGCAAGGGTCACACGGGTCTGCGTGGCTGGCTTTGGCCGGCACTGACTGGGGTCTACCTGACCTCCCTCCCTCCAGGACAAGTTCCCTGTCCGTGAGGACCTCTCTGACCTGACTGACGAGGACACTGCACCAGCAGAGCCCCCTCGACCCCCTGCTCCCCCCTTCAGACCCAAGAATGACACCGATCTCTTTGGGTTGGGCCTCGGGGCACCAGGCCTGAGGGACAGCAGCACCGAAGGTGGGCTTTCGTCCCAGGGCGTATCTAAGTCCCCCACGTGAGCCGTGTGGTGTCACTCAGTGCACAGGAGCCTTGAGGACAGAGAAGTGGGCCAGGCTGCTCGGGAGGTGGGCACAGAAGGCCCCTGAGCCCCTGTAGGCCCTGACCTCAGGCTGCCCGTCATGTACCTTTTGACCTTGGCTTTCAAAAGGACAGATGAGGGTGCTGGCACTGGCCCGTCCACCGCTCAGGCCACTTGTGCCTGGCCAGCTCATAGATGGCCCCCAGCAGCTGGATGGCCTGGCATATGGTGCAGCAGTGTTTGATATTCAAAAGTGGGGCAGGTGTGCCTTCCTCGGGCTGCACACGTCCCAGTGGGGCAGGCGTGAGGCCGCTACTGCGCCTGTGGTGGGGGCCTCAGCCCGGCACGTGGCCGTGGCACAGCTCCCTACCCGGGGTCGGCCGCCTCTGGGTCACCACACCTGTTTCTGAGGCTCCCTTGTGAGGTGCTGGGCTGAGCGGGCTGCGGGGGTGGGAGCCCTTGGGCCCTTACCCACACGGGGGACTAAGGGACAGTGGCCCTGGAAGAGGGGGCCGGGTCAGGCAGAGGACCCTTCCTCCAGCCGCCACGCCCCTCTTGTTGCGGGGCGGGCCTGTGCCCTTAGGGCCACATCCAGGCCCTGGGGACAGGACAACCGCCGCTGTGTTATCTGCAGATAAGGACAGCAAGCCTCCCTGCCGCGAGAAGAAGAAGAAGAAAAAGAGAAGCAAGGAGGTGGGGCGGGGCAGGCGCGCAGGCGCAGGATCGGGGGGGGCGGAGCGCGGGGGACCCGAGGGGCGGGACCTGCGGGGGCGCGCAGGCGCGGAGCCCGCAACCCGAGGCGCTTGTTCCCGGTCCTGGCCCAGGAGGAAGAAAAGGCTGCGAAGAAGAAGAGCAAGCACCGGAAGAGCAGGGACGAGGGCGAGGACGAGAAGAAGAAGAAAAAGAAGGCGGCTCGGAGCCGGAAGGAGGCCGCAGACGAGCTGGAGGCCTTCCTGGGGGGCGGGGCCCCCGGAAGCCGGCACCGCGGGGGCGGGGACTACGAGGAGCTCTAGGCCGGCGGCTGGCGCGGCACGGTCGGCCAGGGCCGGTCCGCGGCGGGGAAGGCAGCCCAAGGACTGATGCCGCAGGCCTCAGCGTTTCTCAGGGATGTGACTGAGGCCCGCGAGGGACCAGCAGGGCCTGTTCGCGAGCGCGCCTCCCGGCTCGGGTGCCCCGAGTCACTGGCTGCTGCCTGCTCCGGGCGCACGCGCGTTGTCGCGTGGCTGCGTGGGCGGCCCCGCGCGG